TATGTAAAAATTAAAAGTATTTTTCAATTATTTTCCCACAGAGATTTCTTTTTAATTCAGGATCAGAGACTGATAGATACAGGACAATATAAGATCTATAGTTAAAATAAGGAAGAGGAATAAAAGCATGTTTAATCAACGTATTTAACAGACTTTCGCAAACAAGTATGGTCTAATGATTAAGTGCAAAATTAACATTAAACATGTGAAAAGCACCGCTTAGATACTTCCAACTTTTGGAGAAATCTGTAACATAAAAGTCACAGACAAGTTGCTACTAAAGCCTCCCAGCTTCTAGAAGGCAAAATGAAAAATTGATTTTAAATTACAAATTATTGCCCAATGAAGCAAATGAAAATACTTCATTATTTCTAAGGTTATCATACACAATGCTTCAAACTGGTGTAATAAAACAACCATATTAAGCAAGCTACTGTAAGTTAGGGATGCAAAAGAATGCAAGAAATGTACCCCATCTAAACTAGAGCATAAGCATTCTGCCAAGGCAAATTGTCATCTCTCTTCCTCTCATGAGTTTTCATACCATGACAAAGTCACATTGACAGAGTGGAACAACAGACAAGTATATGTATAAAGTGTGTCTGACAGGAAAGTGAGGATATACTTGAAATAAATCCAAGTTTTCCATGTCACAGCTAGACATTTTAAGAAACTGTATGTTATTAACATGATTTAATCCATTTAGAAATGACATTCCTAATTATAAAATACCTATGACATTCAAATTAATTATATCTAACTTACACATTTAACTGAGGTGGACCAGGTTTCGCTTGCTTTACAGGAAAACTACTTTGAACAATGGTCCTTATGGCCCTACACAGGGAAAAAAAATAAGCAAAGAATGGCATTAGCCTCAGAAGTGTAATAAGTAGATTACATTGATAATAGCAGTTTAGCATTTCAGAAACATTATACCATTAGAATATATCATTTACTCAAGAGCACATCTAGCAGCTAAGAAATACTCTTATGTCCATAAAAAGCTGAAAGACCAAGATTTTTATATTTATAAGGAGAGAGTTCAAACCACTATCTTGACTATTTTTTAGGGAAGAAAACCAGCTCTAGAATAGCTTTTCAGACTCAGCCCCTTCACTATTACCTAGCAACAGATCACAATACTTATTAGTACTTTAGGATTCTTTCTCCTTCTACGTACACTTATACAGATAGAAGAAAAAACTGCTTTGTTGTATAATGATTTATATTATTGCCATGTAGTAGTTTACCATCTGTTGTAGAGTAGTATTGCCATTGCAGTGGTTGGGGGTAAGCTGGACAGATCTACATCCACATGTTTAGTTCCTGGGGGGACTTTGCTGATACACAGAAGTTCATTCAATAGCATGTTCAATACAGGAACAGACAAGCTATTAAAAAATAAAAGACAGAATCAGATACTTCCTAGAGTAAATCTACTTATGGAATGTTAAACAGTGTACACTCCTATTCAGTACTTAACATCACATGGATGTTTATTCAGCATTTGAGATCAGGTATGTAAAGCAGTCACCAGTATTAGCTGCATAAATTAAGTCCAAGAGGATGGGCCCAAGCAGTAGTTCAGCTGCCCTGACAGCTTAACTAATACTCTGCACCACTGCATTACCCACACAGGTACCATACCAGAACAATCCAGTCACCTCTAACAGCATGACCCACATAATAAGAAGTTCTTTCAAAGCAGCCCCAGATCATACTCCCTGAAGGTAAGCAACTCCATTTCCATCACAAGTGAAATTTCACTCACATAAAGTGAAGTTAAGACCAGGAACTTTTTGAATAGCGCTAAGTACAACATACATGAGCTGGGACAGAAATCTCTTTAATAAAATGAGAAAACATGCAGGCTGGACTGCACTGCTCCAAGCTTTTGTGGTATAATTTAACAACTAAAATACTATTACTAATTTAGACATTATTTGAGATTAGATCAGCTACTGCCAAAAGTACCTTTGACCTTGTGAAAATTTTGCATTCTTTGCAACTAGTATTGAAAATAATCAATGAAACTACACTTGTAGCAGCTAAAGCCAGGATTTCTGTTTAACAAATTTTAGGTCTTGTGTTCTATCAGAAGCGTTCTACAAGCAGTGGCTGAGGGAACTGGTGTTTAGCCAGAAGAAAAGAAGGCTCATAGGGGACCTTATTGCTCTCTACAACTCCCCAAAGGGAGGTTGTAGCAACTGGGTGGTCAGTCTCTTCTCCCAGGCAAGCGACAGGATGAAAGCAAATGGTCTCAAGTTTCGCCAAGAGAGGTTTAGATTGAACTTTAGGATAAGTTTTTCACCAAATGGGTGATCAGCCATTGGAACAAGCTGTCCAGGGAAGTGGCTGAGTTACCATCATACCCTGAAGGTATTTAAATTATATTCAGATGTGGCACTTAGGGACATGGCTTAGTGGTAGGCTTGCCAGTGTCAAATTAGTAGCTGGCCTCAATGATCTTAAAGCTCCTTTCCAGCCTAAATGATTGTACAATTCCATGCAAGTTAGAACCAGGTCAATTATTGCTTCCTTAAGATTCTATATTAAATTACAGATAAAGGGGGCAAGAGATCTGTGTGAATGAATAAGGAACTTCTGTCATTACCTAAGTGTAAACAGGAAGCCAAGTGTAAACAAGAGTCACCTGAAGCAATCCTGTGCCATGTGTTGGATGATCCTGCTGGAGTAGGGAGGTTGGATCAGATGACCCACTGTGGTTCTTTCCAACCATACCCACCCTGTGATTCTGTGAAGTGTAGCTCCCTAATGTGCATAGCACTTCCAACTGTTCTAGCTCATCAGACCACTTTTCAGCTGAAATTTCCAAAGGAAAGATGCAAAGCTGGGGTTTGTCTATTTCAACCACAGTAATTTCAGTGACCTAGTTCTGGATACATGGAGTTATTACTGGAACAAGACCTCCAGTTTCAAGCATGTCAGAATGAGGAAACTTACGCTAGTTTTGTCACTGAAGAACACATAACCTCAAATTTATCTTTATGAAGATAAATTTGTACATATAATTTAAGATATGTACATGTACATATCTTAAATGGCTAAGACATGCTGTTTTTACTCTCTAAATACTTTTTATTCGTTCAGACACACTGCCTTTATCAAAACTGATTCCTAACTTACAGCCAAAATACAACTCGATTTCAATTATCACACCCAAAAGGGAGCAAGACAGATTTCCGTTTTTTAAAATAAATATCTCATGCCACTTCAATTTGGTGAACTTAGCATGAAGATGTACAGATTATACCTTTTTTCTAACACATCCAAATCCCACTTCAGATGAGCAGCAACTTTGAGAGCAAGAAGTTTTAGAATGCGGTTTCTTTTGTTATCAGGTGGTGGCTGGACTTGGTTCTGTTCATTCACTGATGGTTTTGAAGCTTGTTCCAAGAACTGAACAATCAGCTGCACAGGTGGTGGGTCTGCAAAAAGACACAGGCACTCCTCAAATTATTTATAAGCCAGAATTTTTTTTTTCCCCAGCTATGAACATGGTTCTTTTATCCTTGGTGTTTATAGTCCTGACATTGCTACCTGGTAGATTCTAATTCCAAATGGTGTTCTGCACGTGCTGACTCAAATCAGACTATCAAGATACCTTTGCTTAACATTAAAGTTCACTTGACCATGGTAACCACACTCTCACACTTGAATTTATTTTCACTATTTTGTATTAATTATCTACTGCATCTACTGAAAATAAATGCCGCCTAATGAAACCACAAGTGAACTGTTGTAAAAATGATACATCTACTTGTAATTCTCCTCTGCATGTAAAATATATTTACAAGCAATTGCTGGTACTTCTGAATATATTTAGAAAATACTTTCAGATTGGTTAAAAAACAGCATAAAAAAAGCAACCAATCTCTTCTTTACAATAAGACAGCCAATACCTTTGAGCTCTTTTGGAAAAAGAGGCCAAACTGTAACCACTACACTCTCACTGACCTTTGTGAAACATAAAGCAAGTACTACCTGTTTACTCAATTCACTACAAAACAGAGTATAAAATCTAAGCATAGATCTAAGCATAAGATCTAATATAGATTATGCTAAAAGTGATGTTTTGTAGATGAACTGGCCCAGGTTTTCCTGTTTCCTCCACCTTCTTGCAGAATTTGGGTACTGAAAGAGATGACTACACCTTACGACTGTCAAAAGATCAGGTAAATTTAAATATGGCCTCTTTCTTATAATACATCAGACGAGATTTCTATTTATTCCAGGTCCAGAGAGCAATTTCAGCACTGAACCTTTCGGAAGACTTCAGTTCCTGCCACTAACAGGATTCCAATAGGAGAAAACCAGCTGCCAACTGCAATGATGTGCAGCACTTCCCACCGAATAAACAAACAAACAACAACACTTCCGCACACAACATCCACGTACGCGAAAGGAAAAGCGATCTACCAGACAATAAAGTCAGAGAAATGAAGTAAATAAATAGGAAAGATGAAGTGAAATGAGCAAAATCGCGTTTCTGCCGGCGGTGAAAGCGCCGCAGGGCCGCGGGCAGTGCCCGGCTCACTCCGCCCCCACTCCCCAGCACGGCAGCCGAGCCCCCCGCGCTGCCGCCCCACGGCCCCGGAGCGATCCTGCCCCAGAGGGGCCGGGCAGCGGGGCCGGGCCCAACCCCAGGCCGCGGGGAGGCGGCGGCCAGCAGGGCACGCACCAGGAGAGGGCTTCTGCAGGTGCTGCTCCAGCAGCGCCTCCTCCAACACGAACTCGAACCACGACGTCTGCGGCGGCGTGCATGGCCGGCTGGAGGTGGCGGCTTCCCGGTCCGCCGCCTCCGCGCTCATGTCGGGAGCCCGGCAGGGAGCCCCGCACCAACCCCGCGGCCCCTCAGCCACCGGCGGCGGCGCAAGATGGCGGCCGGCCGCGCCCCGCGGAGGCGGCCCGCGCGGGGCCCCGCCCGCCGCGGCGCGGGGAGAGCAGCGCCCGCGGGCGGCCGTGCGGAGCGGGGCGGGGCGGCGGAGAGCGGCTGGCTCCCTCACGGGATCGGTGCTGTTCTTTCCGAAGTCACTAGTTCGGTGCGTGTCCCCTGCCACCCCACGGCTGTCCCTCTGCCTTTGCGTCCACCGGCTGTGCTCCCTGTGAGCGCTCAGGCCGATAAACGGCTCACCCTCCGTGCTCCTGCCCCTGCATACCCTAATGCCTCATGAAGGATAAAGAAATTAGGACTTTGATCCATATAGGCAGATTTAAATAATGGAATCGCAGAACGTTAAGGGGTTGGAACGGACCTTAAGGATCATCTAGTCCCAACCTCTCCGGCCATGGACAGACCCCTCCTGCCAGACCGGGTTGCTCAGAGCCCCATCCAGCCTGGCCTTGAACACTTCAGCACTGGGACATCCTCAGCCTCCCTGGGCACCCTGTTCCAGTGTTTCACCACCCTCACAGCTGTTAGGAAAGATAGGTGCTAATGTCTTTACAAATCATTCGATGAGAAGAATTAGGAGATTTAGGAGAAATGGGTGTTACTGTCTTTGAAATGGGTCTCTAGGAACAACAAGCTGCACAGGTTTGTGACAGAACCCAGGGGTTTTGTCCAGACATTTTGAATTTGTGAACTTGAGGGTATTAGGAGAAATGCATCTGTGCAAAGTCTATTGCAGAACCCAGAGAGTCTGAACTTCCGAATGTTAGGAGAAAATGACAATACATGTTTCTGGGGGAATATGTGGTAGGTGATTTGGGAAGGCTGTACCTTCCAAGTACCTCAGCCAATCAGAAAACAAAGAGGGCTACAGGTGGTTGGGAGTTCAGGATAAAAGGAGGCTGCATCCTCCAAAACCTCAAGAGACCCCATGAGGGATTGGCCTAGTGGACTCTCCCTTTAATAGAATAAAATTGCAGGGCTTCTCTGCCTCCTTTATGGACATTGGCTTTTCATAATGTGGCTATTATGCACACAGTTAAGAGTTTTTCCTAATAGTTAACCTAAATTTCCCCTTTCCATTTTTACCCACTCCTCCTTGTGCTATCACTACAGTTCCTGACAAAGAATCCCTCTCCAGCTTTTCTGTAGGCTCACTTCAGATACTGAAAGGCTGCTATGAGGTATCCACAGAACCGTCTCTTCTTCAGACTGAACAGCTTGACTTCTTAGCCTGTCTTCATAGGGGGGATGCTCCTGTCCTCTTATCAATTTCATGGCTCTCCTCTGGACTTGCTCCATGTCCATCTTAGCAATTACATCTTCCAATGTTATTAAGGTGTCAGTATTTGCATGACAGCCCATGTCCGACTGTGCCACTCTCTCAACTGCAACTAGCCAGGATCTGGTTCTGAAGCTTTTCAGGTATCCCTGTTCTTAGAACATATATATCCCGGGAGAAGCAGGATGACTAGCAGAAGCTTTTATCTATTTCAGTAATTTGGCTGAGTTTCTCTAATATTTTACTAGAGAAGAGTTCACAAAGGCTGCATAGGAGGTTTGCAATGTAGATATATGATTGCATACAACAATATTACAGTATTAGAAAAGTTTTTTACCAAGAGGATGATTGGACAGTGGAATGGACTACCTAGGGAAGTGGTTTCAGCACCAAGCCTGGCAGTTCAAGAAGTGTTTGGACCATACTTTCAGGCAAATGGCGTGACTCTTGGAGCTGTCATGTGCGGCTCTCAGCTATGAGCATTTTGCTATAAGTGATCCAAGGAGATAGAGGAAAGTTCTTCTTTCTCACCTTTCATGAAGAAAGACTTTCCCACCTTTCATGAGAAGTCCATTACATGTCCTGAGTTTAATGCAATTTATCTTCTGTTGTGCATGTTACTTTGTGTGTTCAATTATTTGAGGGAAAAATTAACTACTGCTTCAGCTTTCCTGAGTTATTTAATGCGTCCAAATGTAAAATATTCAGTTTCAAGATATGAATTACAAAATAACCCTCAGAGAGATCACAGTCTGTTACTATGATTTTTTAGCACATTGTTCAAATCAGTCTCTTTTGGAAGAGGCATTTTACCAATAATCATGCTAAGCTTTACTTGATACCAAGTTCAGAATACGCAACTTAATAAAGAGCAATAAAAATGTATATCCACTTCATGAAAATGTTGTAAGAATTCAACACTTGGAAGAGTCACCTTACTGAAGTTCTGTGGCTCAGCTGTTTTTGTTTGCAGCAATCACATATGTTAATATCCCTTGGTGTAAGAAATGTGTAGTTTCTTACCATACTACACATATATCTTTATACAGGAGGAAAAATTTACATTAAACAAGATCTGGCTATATGCAAATGCATCCTAATACATCCACCATATTTATTTTTTATGACTTCGCAAGAACAATCAGTGCCCAGCCATGTGAGGTTTTGGCATGAAGGAGTGGCTCATGGTGACTTATTCTCCAAATCTTTCTAATGAATATTAGTGTCATCTACACAAATAATTTTATTAAATGAATGCAAATTGTTTCATTCAGTTTACATGGTATTTTTGTTCAATCCATTTTTTATGTAAATGATTTGTTCTAATAGTATCAAAATCTTCCCTCCAAGTACAAAACTAATTTACATTTGCATTCTTTATGCTAAGTAAAATGATGAAGAGTGATGAAAAATCTAATTTTGAAACATTAATTATAAATCAAAGCAAGTGTCAAGACTTTGAAAAAAAACCAAATGTTGAGTATCATGGTAATTAAAAAATCTCACTGAGTTGAAAACAGTTAAAAAACCATTAGCGCTTCAGAGCTTACAAGCACTCTGTAAGCCTATTAACATTCACACATCACCAAATGCACTGGGAGCTGCCCAAGAGGTGAGCTCAGCTTCAGAGAAGTTAAGAGGGAAAAGGAAAGAACAAGGTGATTTACCCATGGTCACCGAAATGAGTGTTCAAGTCATTATCAGATTTCAGAAGCTTCTGATTTCCTTTTTTCCACACTAAAACCAGTCGGTTTTTAGAGAGCAGGAGGAGGAGGCAAAGGAGTAGAAAATAGGTTTCCCATGCTTTCTGTTTTGAGGATCCCAATTTTTACAATGACTGTGCTGATTGAAAGAATTTAGTTCCAGCTTTTGCCTGGATGCCCTTCTAGCTTGTCTTCACACCTGCTATCAGCTCTTCTGTTTTCCAGCTGCACACTTTGAAGAAGTGTGAAAAGCATGGTTGGACATAAAAGTTTACTGAACAAAAGCTTTTTCCAGGTCTCACAACTGCTTTTAAGAGTGTAAAATTGTCACAAATTGTCATGTTCACATATGGGATCTTGCTACTCTTTTCCTCTTAGTACAGGTAATTAGAAAAAGCGTCAGATAGAAAGAGTCCCACAGAGTTGGGCAGCCTGTGAGTGAGGCAATGTGTGTCATGTCATGGAAGAGCAGAGTTTAAGAGGATGCAATAAAAGCTGACAAGAAACCAGAAATTGTAAATGTTTTATATTTAACATTGATAATAATTATTTCAGTCTAAAATTAATTCAATTAAAAAAAAAAAAAAAGAATACCCTATGCATTATTACCTGCCTGATAGGTTTCACATTAATACTAGGGAGAAAATAATTCAAGTCCTTGCATCCAGAAATATTCTATTAAGTCACTGAGGTCTACACAAATAAAAAAGGATATTATAATACTATTCTATAGTTATCCTACATCCCAAAGTTTTCAAGAAAATTCATGGTTTAAAAGTCTTTGCACTTATATAATGAAATAACTTTGTACAGTGCATATAAAAAGATTATTCAGATTATTGCTCCTGGGAAAAGTGAGTATATCATGCTATTGTAGCTAAAAACCTGCATCATGTAAGTTACTTGATGTAACTTATATATAAAAAAGGGCATTTTTAAAAGTAATGTCCGTATGTCATGACAATGTGCCAAGTTCCTTTAGCTCCAGTTACAAATTTTCATTTGAGACTGCATAGAGTTCTTTAAGCTTCTCAAACTTTGACCCCCACTCTTGGAGGCAATCGTAATTTAGATCTTCATCTCCACTGATGGAATCTAATGAGCTAAGGCTCCCTGCTAGAGAGCATTGCCCTTCCAAGCAGTAAAAATGGATAGTGTCAGCTGGAAGACTCTTCAGATCATTGTCTGCATCCCGTATTATTTGAGAAACATATTCCTTGAAGTCTGGGATGCTGGTAACAGCTGATATTGATTGCTTTTGATGTGAATGTTTTGGGAGTGAGTCTCTTTTTGGGTTAGTTGGTGTCCTGGAGTGTGGAGCAGCTGCTCGCAAGGAGGAGCGGGGAATCTTATGGAGAGGTTTCTTCAGTTCATCTATATTGTAAGCATTCTGGAAACAAAGAAAATGCAAATATCAGAGAGAAACAACTCAAAAGGAAACTGATTCAAAAAATGCTTTACAACACAAGGCAACACAAGACTGCATTCTGTGCATTTTCTACAAGCTGAAGAAGAGTGTGCCTAGTTCAGAGGACTAAGTTCTAATTGTACCAAATCTCTTTGTTTTCAGCTAAATCAACAATGATGTGTCCAGAGCAGCTCCCTTGAAAGTGGGCACATATGACCAGCATCATTAAAGGTACAGACGGGGCTGAAGTGAAAGCCTCCCACTTAAGAGGACTTCGGATTAAAAAAAAAAAAAGAAAACAGCCAATTTGATAATAAGTTAACTAAAAGGTCTGGGAAAGGAAAGTGAGGATATGTTGGATTTGCAAAGCTGGACTGAAGCTGCATCATACCTGGTCACGTTCTCCACCTCCTTCTTCATTATAATTGAAGACATTTTCTCTAACATCTTCCCAGCTTTCACGCTCTTCAGGAATGTGGTAAATTCCTCCTTTCCGAAACCCTGAACTTCCCCACTGACTCCACACTGTGTAGGAAACCAAGAGTGCTGAAAGAAATAAAGACAAATATTTGTTATATGATGTATGACAAAGTATGTTGCATGATAAGCAAGTTATTATTAAATCAACTCTTAATTTGACAACTAAATTTGCAGGTAAAAAATGAGTATTATTAATATATAAACAACTAAAATTCATGAATGTAAAGAATAATCTATGTATATTACATCATAAACTTCATTAAAAGGGTATTTTACTTACCTAAAGGAATCCATTTAAATAGAAGGCATTTTGGCCAATCTCTGGCCTTTCACCAATCCTGAGTAAATAAGATACCCAAAGTAAGTAAACCACTGTTTTAATGAAGGTTACAAGTGTAATATAACAATGGAGTCTTTGCTATTATGAGATGTCTGTGCAGTTTATTAACATGAATACAGTTTCATGGTGTTACTAATTTTTCAGCCAAAGTGCAGCTGAAAAAGGACACACTGTGAACATCTCTCTCTGCCCACACTTTGAATGAGGCTAGCCTTTTAAGACCAGGAACTTTCTAGATCTCTTCCTTCCTAATATGTGAAGAACATACGTAGCTGCAAGTCCTACATACAACAACCTATAAATGTAAGGGCTCAGGGCAGGTGGGAGTTTCAAATGGATGTGGCTGCACACAGAGGTGCCCACAAAGATGGAAAAGGATTGAAAGTAAGTGACTCTGGAAGAGAAAAGTCCTAACTTTGCTAGAACTGTCTTCAAAGCAAGTAAACTGTAACTATGTGCTGAGGTCTGTCTCTTAGCTTCCTCAAATAGTGATCCCCAGAAAAGGCTGATCACAACACTCAAAGGTAAAGCAGACTTAATTCAGTGGAACAAGGTACAAGATTAAAAATAAGAAAAAAGGGTACATGATTTCCTACCTAGGAAGACAAGGAGGCACATGCTGATTGCCAGAATAGAGCCAGAGCTTAGTCCAACAGGTCTTCCAGCCTTCACCTGGCTAATTTCACACCATCTTCCCTTGTAACCTTCAGGGCACTGGCAGATAGTCTTGTCTTGGGACTGAGCCACACAGGTACCCCCATTCCTACAGGTCCAGTGTCCACAAGGGGATGAGGTACAGTGTCTGAGCCCTGTAAGGGTGTCAGTCACTTCTACTTTCCCAGCTGGGCACCTGAACAACCAAAGCAAATGATATCTTATAGGCAAGCAAAACATCTGAAGCTGTATGTTGTTTTGTGCAAAGTTTGTTACTGTTTCTTTAAAGTTTAATTATTCTCAAGCAAACCACAAATCCACATTGAAAGTTTGAAATACATGGAAAGTCTAACTTAGTGAGCTAATAGACTTATGAAAACATGAATACATCTTCTGGTTTCCTAATCCAGAAGATATGCAGAACACCTTCACTCTTTCCTTAAAAGAGGGAGCCATCACTTTCTGACTAACCCTTTTTCTACATCCATGTTCTAATCAAAACCCCTAAAAGAAAATGGACAGCTGAGATCAATAGGCAAAGAACTAGTGAGCATGTGGTAAAAGTTTAGTAATGTTCCTTTGGACCCTGTGGAGAAATATCATTGACCTCCTCAGAATGACTTGTCTTGTCTTTTAGGGTTGATTTCTTCTTGCATGTAATTGGAGAGGCCCTGGAGGTATAGTGTGAGGTCACAGACTTTCTTTCTGCAATCCAAAGAAGAAATTCTACTGAAAAAATGGCAGAGACTTCATATTGTTCTTTCAGAAGCAGTCTGAAGACTGGTGTCCCCAGGCACACTTAAAACCATCTCACAGCCTCTTCTAGCAAAGAATCACTAGACTTCACAAGTGCCAAATTTCGTCAGAATTCCAAGAATTCAAGCAACTCCTCCTCTCAGTCCTGCATGTATTTATGTTTGGGGTTTTTAAACAGAAATGCCTGTATTTTGATTTGCATATTTTAATAATTACTTTGAAATTTTTCTTGAAATAGTGGATCTTCTCCAAGAAACTAACCATGTAGGAATAACAGCTGTTGGGCTTTGGCTCTGGCCCTGGGAAGCCAATTCTAGAATCCAGTTTTGTGACAAAGTAATTTTGAAAGTCTCATTGTTTCATACAAAGTATGATTAATTTCAACTTCTTTACAGGAAATGTATGTAAATATGTATTGTATTGGCAATATGCATATATATATTTATAAATATATGTATTTTATATATATATATGTATATATCAATGTGTATATACACACACACTGTCTATATACACTATTAGTGTATATATACACTATATTAGTATTTTCATACAGAGGACAGACCAAAGCTTTTGCAATCCACCTTTTATAAAAGGACATTTAAATTTCTCACTGGCCTCCTGCTGATCTTCTCATCATGGAAAAAAAAAAGGTGGAGTAATTAGGTTCCATATCAAACTTGCAGAAAAAGGCAAGTCTAGTCCATGATAGATGAGATAGAAAGAAGGATTTGTCCTCAGAATGGCCCTCTCTTGCCAGCAGCCACAGGGAATTTCACTGTTATAAGCAAGTTTCTTGGTCAAAGGTGGAAAGAAAGAGCTTCCCAGCCATCCCTGGATGAAAACAAAAGCTTCATGTACCGGCACTCGTATTTTCTCCAAAGGTCTACACAAAGGAAGGGGCTGTAACAGGGCTGGCTGCTGCAGGCACTGGAATGGCACCCCATGGTGACCCCTTGCCGCCTCAAAATTAATCCAAACTCTGTGCTTCTGCCCTCCACGAGGAGCGGCTGACCATCCAGCTGGACATCACGCATACAGCCTGCAACAAAGCAGTGGAGCATGCACAAGAGTACATTCAGTTAGCTACTTCCCCACCCCAAGCCTTGCCCCCAGCACATAAGCAGGAGAACTTAGAGCATTAAAGAAAACTCAAAACATTTTTAAAAAATATCCTTATACTTCTTGGATTTATTTTAGGAAAGCTACAGAACATGTGTCTATTGTGCTCTGGTCAAACTACAGATTGACAATACTTCTCCAGGAGAGCTGCACTGTACCAATACCACAGTTCATCAGAACTGTGCTATGAATCAGAACAGCTCCACTAAATTCATCTAGATTTAAGATATAATCTTAAAAGTGGGTCTGAATAAATAGCAGCAGAATGGAAACAGCTGTCTTCTTGTGGAACGACAATCTCAAAGTCTCAGCACTCAACCCCAGGAAATGGAGAGAGCACCATAAATTGCCTTGTAATTCTTTCTCCTCCTGCCAAGAGTTGTTTTGCCCATTCCTTAAATCCTTCCAAGGCAAAAACAGGAGTGAAGATCACACCATGAGTATGCTGCTTGAGGTATGAGAATCCTGACCTAGTAGAAGTGGCCCTGCCCCTGACAGAGGGTTTGGAATGAGATGATCTTTAGGACCTCTTCCAACCCATTCTATGATTATATGAAACAAAAATTGGAAGTGCTATTTTTTTAATATTTACAGGAAATCTCACGTCTTCACTTAGAACCAGATACAATAGCACATAGGGTTGAACATTGAATTCCCCAGTAAAGGAAGGGCATAGTAGTCCATATGGGAATTGTTACCTGGGTTTTAGACTATCCAATACACTCAAAGATGCCACTTTCAGGCTTTAACTTCCCCCTATTAGGAATCCATCAGATCACTTACCTTGGAAATCACTCTCTGAATGACTGGGAAGGCGATTTCCTAGCACGATGCTTGCCCAATCCATTTCAAACCATCTATTCACACCCAAGACAGAGGTGACTTCTTGATCACCTCCACCACTGTTAACACGCAGGGTAAATTCATTGTTGTAGCGCTCCATGGTCAGAAGAACCCACTGGCCATTGTTTATACGTAATGTTCTCATTCTCAAAGAGTGATTTTTGTCCCCCAAACTGAAGTTAACACTAAAGAAACCATCAAACACCTAGAAGAAGATAATAAAGACCTTTAATAACAGAAATGCACTTCTAAATGTTATTACACAGTCCTGCCTCAAGAAATGGATGAGTTTTTAAAATGGAAATGGCATTCTTATTTTTAAGTGTCTTATTCCGAGATAAAAGTTACCACAAGAAAACTGCAGGTGCAAGAATTATCAACTCTAATTCACATGAACTCTTTAATCAGTCTTCTCCCTGCTGATATCTACCTCTAAGTCTTCCCAGCTGACCCTCCTGTTTCAGTTAGAATAATTAGCTTCTCTCTGGCTAGTATAGTCCAGACAGCTTTTTTCAACAGCAACAAAAATGTAGACGCAAGTTTTACAGACAGGGAGAGAGAGAAGCCAAGGGAAAAAGCAAGCGGGACAAGCAGAACAATCTTCTTCATTCACATGCATCACATGGACATTTTGCAGGCAGTGCAAACTAGGAAAGAGTAATAGTGAGAAGGACCACACAAATGAGAGTAGTTACCCTCATATGGAAAATTCTTGCTCTTTATTACATTACAGAACAAGTGTCTTTACTCAGAAATGACATGTTTTTCTCTCACTGAGGTACTCCATGACAAACTGAGAGCACTCATGCAGAACAGCTCTGCTCACCTCCAGTCGGATGTATCTGTTGCCATCCACAGAGGCCAAGCTGAGCAGGGTGCTGTGGGAGATCCGGGTGCGCACCAGCAGCTGGATCCGTGTGCTTCGAGTGCTGAGGATGCTCCTTGGCTCAAAATGGATCCAGCTGTCCCTTCCGAAAGCCCATTCTGGAAGAACTGAGCACAGCACACAAAATCAAAGTGAAAACTTCAGAAATGGCTGTTCCCTCAGATTTCTGCTCTTTGAGAATTTACTAGCTCTGAATGACAGAGTTTTAGATCTTAAGGAATTTTGGCAATACAATGAAGCATTGTGGAAAGCAATCTGTGTCCCACTTCAAAGGGAATCAAGAGAAAACCAACAAATCAAGGATTCAGAATTTAGGTAGGAAAGGGACAATTAGATACTGTCTCTTGCACTCTGGCTGTTACAAGCTATATGTTCTACCCAATCACTCCTACACTGTGCCCAAATTGGGTTTTTTTGTGTTTTTTTTAAATCTGAAGCATATTTTCCAGTAAAGTAGCTCATATTGATCTGAAAAATAGAAAAAAACAAACAACCCCCCCAAAAAACAACCAAAAAATCAATCAAATGTTTCTTTCAGTAGTTTAGTTCTGTGGTTAAAACCCACA